AGCTCTGGAGGAGCTGAACCATCCCCTCTTTGTGTGGAAATAGAAACTGTGTTTAGGGGAAATAAACTCCGGGAGCTTCCCTTCGGTGCCTCCGCGCAGCAGAGAGGACACTGGCTCTACGTGCCGCGGGGAGCGCTCGCATTCTCCCACGGTACCCAAGGACTCCTGCCATTTGCAAAGCTTCACTGAGGCCTGGGAGGTTAAAATGCAGACCTCAGGGGTTGATTACAGCAGTCGCTCATCGGCACAGCCATGCAATTGCTTCCTGGCTCTTTAATCTCTGCTGGGGTGCATTTCCATGACAAGCAGCTGAGTGCTCGATCTGGCATGCCCATAAGTGCCTGTTTAATGTGAGTCACGGAGCTGTATGCATCATGGATTTCCCATTCATTGGCAGTGACAAAATTTGGGGCTGGTGGGGGGGGTCATTTTTGGGTCCAATGACATGTTTTATTTGACCTGGGACAAACTGTTTCACATGTCACTTGAGCCTTTCTGGAAGGGTTCATGTTCCTCATAAAATCAAGTTGGAAGAACTGGGAAAACAGGAAAAGCTGTGATTTGGATTTGGGAAACATCAGCGTGAAACTGGCTGACTTTCAACATTTTTGCGCACAGTTCAGCAAAACAGATGAATTCATGAACAGTATCTCCCTGGGAACGTGCATTTTTCACCGGAGCCAGATGATATGGCCAATAACATGATCAGGGTGATGCCCGGAGCGAAACCAAAGCGGTTTCATTACCTTCTTTGTATTGCAGCACATTCAGTTCCTCAGAGAAAGGCCACTTCTGCATTACAAATGCCTCAACAAAGAGCCCCAGGCTGTTCACCTTGGAGAAGTACGGGTCAGGCCCAGTGGCTGCAGCAGCTTCAGGTCCAGTAAAATGCCCGGTGAAGGTCTGGCTCTTCCCCTTCTGGGAAATGATGGCTGTGGTAAAGGAGCTGGTGCATGGACGGGTCTGTGGTGGGAGCCATCGGGCGGATGGGGGCATCTCCCAGATCGGAGCGCAGCATCTGCACTTGCAAGGCAGAGGGCAAGGGGCTGACGCCCCGTGGTTGGGGACAGGAAACGTGGTGCAGGGGAGTCATGAGTGCAGCAAGGCCCCAGCCAGATCCCCGGAGCAGTGGTGCAGTGGCCGTGGTGCTGAGGGACATGCAATGGCAGGGAGGATGCGACCAAGGCAAGGGGGGAAGAGCAGCGCACCCCAGCTAACACCAGCCCAGTGCGAGGAGGTCTGCCCCGCATGTCCCTAATACAGGGCAGTTGCAATGAGGGTTAAAACCTCCTTCTCTTTTCTTGGTGCAAGTCCAGGGCTTGCCCCCAAAGCCAGATTCTCATGGAGGTGAACCGGACCCACGGGGGCAGCCCCACGGCCAGGCCATGGCTGCCATGACAGTGCAGCCTCCACAGCCGACGGAGGGCCATGACCACGGCCAGATTCTCCACTGGTGTCTTCAGTGGAGGTTTCCCCTTTTATCCCAGCACCAGATTTGGCCCCACGTGCCTCCATGCTACAGCTGCAGAACAGGACTGAGGGCCACATGTTACGGGGTCCTTGGCTGGGACATGAGCAAAGCCGTGCAGTCATTTCACCCGTTTGCACCCAGCAAATGAAGCCGAACTTTGGCAACGGGCCCCTTTTCATCCAGTGGGATGTGGCTACAGCTCAGCTTCACCTGGGAGTGGCCAGATGTGACGCAGATGTGAGTCGGGTTGGCTGATGCACACTCTCGGGTGGTAAGGGCCCCGTGCATGCTTCAGCATCGGGGCGCTCCGTGCCCAGCGGTGCCCCGCGCTCTGGAGAGGACCGAGCTTAGCTGGCAGATCCCAGCACCACGGGAGGTTGCTTTTTTTTTTTTTAAATGCTAATTGGATTTGGCACCCTCTGAGAGAGCCCAGGTGGTTTGTTTGTCCAGCACACATTGCTTCAGCCCACGTTTCCGGGAATTGGCTGTACATTAGCACTCAGCTCATCAGTCTGGCATTCACTCCATTGGCAAGTATTTCTCACTTCTTTTACGCGGTAATCTGATTTGACAGCTGGGCATGCAACGCCCCCCACACACCTTGTCTGTGTGATACTTCAGCCTCTCCTGATCTTATAGCAGGAGCAACGTGGTGCTTACCAGCAGCGAGAGACAATGGATGCGCTTTACCCCGCGGCACAGCCTGGACGTGGGGCACGGAGCACGATGCCGTGGCCGTCGCAGCATTGAATATGTTGTGTACTTGTCCCCTTCGTGGGTGGACAGAAATAAAGTCCGAGTAACCCGGCTCAGTGTGACACGAGCCTCCTGGAGTCCTCTGGGCACCCCCGGGCCCTCAATAAGACAAAACGCAAGAGCTTCCCGCAGGCCCGGGCAGGACATCGCCAACTCCCAGCAAAGATGTCGGGGTCCGGGGCTGCATTTCACCAGCCCCATTGGGGCCCGTGTGTTTTCTTATTCCAGACTTACCTCTGAAGGTTCAGCGTCTCCGAAAGCACCCCCAAGCCGGCTCAGCCCTGCCCAGTGTTATCATCAGCATGCTTTTGCGAGCAAAAACACAGTTGGTGTTCGCTGTCCCGGCCAGCTTGCAGCCCGGCGCCTTTTCTGGTCTGATCAGTCCAGCCTGGGGAGGAGGTGATGCCATCCAAACAAGCATCCCCGGCATCCTCCTTAACAAGGCACCGCTGTTCGCTGAGGAGGGCCGGCTCTCTCGTGCCGTTCGTCGGTGCCCTGGGCTGAGTCACGGCATGAAAATCCCGGTGTGCTAATAGCTTACTGCAGGGCAGCCGCCCACGGGGCCTGCCTCCCGGTAGGAGCCGGCGGTCAGCAGCATGGAGCTGGCTTCCCTCGCTAGCTGCTGCCCAGCCTCCTCCCAGGTGCCAGGTTGTGTTTCAGGAGCTGGTAGGAGATGTCCTGCATCCTAGGAGCTAACGTTTTATTAGCCCTGTGGACCTTGAGAGCTGGATTAATAAATCTCTGCGGGGTTGCTGGATGGTGCTGCTAAGGCTTTGGGTGCAGCTGCCCCGAGGAGGGCTGTGTTCGTGCGCCGGGAGTCGGCGCCAGTGGAGGACAGCTGCAGCGCGCTGCATTGTGCAACAGAGAAATGGCATCAGAGGCTCCTTGCATGCACATGGTCCTCAGCTGGAGGACGGGGACTGGGCCCTGGGCCCTGTGTTGCTCGAATGTGTGGGAAGCCTTTGGCGGGGAGCTGAGACCTTGTGGCTCCAGGACAAAAGTGCTTCGAGTGAAACCTTGCTTTCAAAATCATAGTCACGGACACCGAGGAAGTCGCATCCAGTCCAACCCCGTGCTCAAAGCAGGACCAGCCCCAACTACAGCATCCCAGCC